GCACATAAAAAGCATTCATTAAATGTTAGAATTCATGAGCTAGCCATGTGTTGGGGTCCCTGCTTTGCCCAGTTCACAGCCCTAGTTGTAGAATATACTCAGGTGGCCATGCACTGTACCATAAATGTCCCACACAAGAAAAGCCACACAAAAAAAGACAATGAGCAAAGGCAGAGAAAGCCAGTTGGGAAAAGGGAATGGAGCAGAGAGAGTAGAGATTGGCTTTAATTGTAATGCTATCATTCCACTGGCTTCGCTTGGCCTTCCTGGACCTCTGGGAAACCATTATCTGTGCTATGATACCCTTCCCCTTATGAAATTTGAGTTGGTTTGGTTTCCTTTCCGAAAGGAGCCTGTATAGCACACAAGTCCCACAACATTTACCGAGCACCTATTGTTGGTATCAGACACTAAAGAGTTTCTGTCTCCAAGGACCTGACTGAGGACACACACAATAAACTCCCTTCACTGTAGTAGTGATCAACCTATTGCGGTTCCCTGACCTCACCCGTTACGCTCACTATGTGGTCTCTTCTTGGAGAACCCTCTTCCCCTACCTACACTGTCCCTCAGGACTAAGAGGACCACTTTTTCTTTGAAATCTTTCCTAATCTCTCTTGAGGCTGAGCCTAGGCACCTCTCTTCTGGATTTCCCCTAATAACTGTTTGTACTTGTCCCAGCTATATTGTCATGGCCAGTTTTTTGTCTCCTGATTAAGAACATGGGTTTTTCTATTGCTTAGGCCCAAGACAGTTCCTAACTCTCTTCCTTAGGGCAGACTCCAGGGACTCAAACCATTTCCCTCCCTTCTCAGTTTCCAAACCTCCACGCTATCCTCTGGATTCCCTATCCTCCGGGTTCCCGTGCCTTAAGTCTTGGTTGAAGAGGGACACAGTCACCCAGCATCTCTCATTTTGCTATTCCAAGCAAAGCATGCTTGAACCAAGGTTAAAGAAATCTGGGTTTGAAAGCCATCATATGGCCCTTCCTGTTGTGGGAAAGTTACTTAACCTCAAAGCACCTCATTTTCTTTATCTGTAGAAGGGGGTAACAAGATCCCCTTTGCAGGGTTGTTAGGAGTAGAAATAATATATGAAAAGTATCTAGCAAGCTGCCCTGAGAAGCCATTATTAACATTCTTTAATTAACTTACTGCAGACCTCCAATGGGTAGGACCATGCCAAATGATCCTTAAAGTATCTAAGGATAAACTTTTGATTTGTTCAATTCAGTGGAGGAAGGGGTACAGGACTGGCAGACAGCTCCACTGAGGCAGGTCTTAGATCTGGCAGTAGGGGTGGCAGGGTTTATGATGGAGAAGGGGTTAATATAGGGATGGATACAGCTAAGCAGCTGGCTGCAGAAGTGCTCTGCCAAAGACTACTAGAAGAGTCCTCTCCTGCCTGGCCACGGTGACTCAGTGGTTGAGCATCGACCTATGAACCAGATTCCTGGTCAGGGTATCTGCCCAGGTTGCAGGCTTGATCCCTGATCGTGCAGGAGGCAGTCAATCAGTGATTCTCTCTTGTCATTGATGTTTCTCTCTCTCTTCCTCTCTGAAATCAATAAAAATCCAATATAATACCCTATATAATAAAAGGCTAATATGCCAATGGACCAAACGGTGGAACAACCGGTCACTATGATGCGCACTGACCACCAGGGGTCAAACCCTCAACACAGGAGCTGCCCCCTGGTGGTCAGTGCGCTCCCACAGGGGGATCACAGCTCAGCCAGAAGCCAGGCTCCGCTGGACTTCTGCGGAGCCCTTCCCGCCTCTGTGGCGTCGGACATTCCCCACCCACCCACCCCCCACACTAGGGCTCCGGGACTGCGAGAGGGCCTGGGCTGAGGGACCCTTCCCCCCCCCCGCCCATGAATTTCGTGCATGGGGCCTCTAGTATTTTATAAAATAAGTCCTCTCCCCACAACCAAGAAATGTTTTTGAGGAGCTGTCTGGAGTGCTGGAATCCATGACCTCGGAATATGCACATCAGCACTCATTGTACTGGGGGGGAAAAACAACTCCCCATCAGCAGCTGCAGGTCACAATCTAAACTAATAGTAATTTCACTTTGCATGTATACATCACCATGTAGCAATTTACAAAACACCCTTAAGCAAAGCTGAATCTGATTTGACCCTTCTAACACCCCTGTGCGGCAGCAGGGCACTGAAGTGGCTTGGGTAACCCTGGCTCAGAGACTGGGAAACTTTCCTGCTGTCAAAGTAACTGGTAACTGGTGGGTCTGGGACTGGAAATCTAGGTCTTCGGAAAGAGCATCGGATTCACTAGGCTACTGAAAGGAGAGCTAAGAACATAATCTCCTAAAGGTACCATCGCTGCCGGGAAATATGGAAAATTACTTTGCATTTCCTTTCTGCATCTCCAGTTTGTGGCTGGAACTAGGGATCCGATAGGGTACAAACAGAAGTCCGGAAGGGGCCGGGGCAAATATACCCGAAGGGCAAGAAACTGAGAGTGTGGGGAGGGGAAAGGAGAGGGAGGAGAAAGGAAGCAGGAAGGAGTCTCAGGAAGGCGACGAGAACTCCGTTTAACTGAGCAGCCACGGTGCCGAGCGCAGCAGCCACGTTACCTCAGCGCATCTGCACAACTCTAGGTACGGGCTGTGACCTTCCCACTGTGCAGAGGAGAAGCCGACTCGGGAGAGGCGACCTGCCCAGGCCAGAGGAGGAAAGCTGGATTCGGAAACTCAGAGCGGCCGGCTGAGGAAGCACCCCTACCCCTCCACGCCGCTGGCAACCCGCACCCGCCGGGCGCGGCGTCCGAAAACCTCCTTCCGGGCGGCACAACCACCCCTCTCCCGTCAACGGCGCCTCGCCCCCGGTCCGGACTGCCTTGGGGTCCCCGGAACCCTTGCACCCCGCCTTCCCGCCGGCCGCCTGGGCGGGCTCCAGCCCGCAGCCCGCGCCCGGGAGGGAGCCCGGCGCTGTGGAGTGGGCGCCGCCGCCAGGCGCGGCGGGGACGGGTGCGGGGAACGGTTGGGGGAAGGGGCCCCGGGAGGCGGCCGCACGCCACTCACGCGTCGAACTTGTTGTTCATCCTCTCGCTGTCGCCACTGCCTCACGGAGTGACTTCCGCTCCGCCCGGTCCCTCCGCCTAGGGCCCGGCCACTTCCGGTTGCGCGGGGAGCCGCGGAACGTAGGCTCGCGGGCCCGGTGGGGGGCGGATATCCCGGGACGCCAGCCCAGGGCGGCTGCGCGGACGTGCTCGAGCTCGGGGACGCCACCGGCTGCGGAGGTCTGACGGGTCCCTGGCCGCCGCCCGCCCCGTGGCTCCGAGGAATCGCTCCCCGCCCAAGGCGGCGCGCACTGACCCCTCCCGAGGCTCCGGGAGGGAGATCGCGCCGCAGCGCGACGGCGCGGGCTCTGCACTCCGCTGGGCACAGATCCCGACCCCACCCCCAGAGCGGGCTGAGCGATCCCGCACTCAACCTCCCCCGGGCAGTTTTTCCCTCTTTGTTACCGGCAATGCTATAGTACCCGCCTCTTCAGGTTGCCGTGTGGATTGAATACGATAATCAATTCAGGCGCTAGGCAACGTGACCCTAAATAAGTGGCAGCTATTGTTAGCCATTGCTTACTGGGGCCAGGAGCTACGGAGCTCACCTCCGCCCCTGAAGCCCTGGAGCTGTCAGTGAAGTTGGGGGACTCATCCCAGGTGACGAGTCTAGCAAGCCTTAGAGGGACCGGAGCTGGTTCCACCATCATCAAATTGCCTCCGGGATTTAGTCTCTGCTCCAAACACAGCGGGTGCACACACGCACACACTGGAGTAAAGGAAACGAACCTGCTGGTGATTGAGCCCCAAAGCCAGCAACCCTGTAGTTGGGAGAGGGGGTTATTTCTGGGATCCTCTTCCCTCCCCCAACAATGTTGCATTGTCAGGGCTTTATGTGGCACTTACACATTTTTTAATCACCTTCACCCGCACCTTTGATCCTGTAATGATCCTAAACTGATACCTGAGCCCACAGTTAGAGAGGAGGCAACAGAGGCTCAGGCAGCACAAATGACTTGCTTAAGTTTACCCTCTTATCACCAGCAGAACGCACGCCCCATCTGTACTCTCAAAGTGTGGCCTTGCCTCTCCCAGGAAGATGTCAGCTAGTCCTCTTGTTTCCTAAGTGGGGTCAAGGGAGGCTGGTCAGGGTCTCCTCCCTGAAGGCAGAGCCCAGCAATTCCCTGTTACCTCCCAGCCTCCCTACCTAGCTCTTCCTTAACCATTTTTGCGGGACCAGTGCAAATTCCCTGGCCTTTGAGAAGAGAAATGGGGAGGGGTCTGTTTTCCAGGCTGTGGGATCTTTCTCAGAGTGTCTAAGATTGGGTCAGAGTTGGGAATGCTGGACTCCAAACCATAAAGCAACCAGTGTTCTGGGAAGCCACTCTTACTCGGCTCCAATTTGCCCATCTGAAACATTAGGGATATAGTGACTTGCTTTTCCACGATGCTGTGAGGAGCTCTTAACAATGGGAAAAGATAATAAAACTCATGAAATATGTTGTGATCAATGGCAAAAAAAATGCATATGAATAGAAAAATCACTGGTGCAGATGAGTCCTGGGTGCAGTAAGGCAGGGGAAGGAGATGGCAGCTGGGGTGAGCTGCCATCTTCTTTTGAGAGATCATTGGCTGCCATTCTTCACATTTCTCTTGACTTCCCTCTTTCAAGAGCTTGTAGGGAACTCATCAAAAGAAAGGGAGGCCCAGGCTTGGAGAGATAGGACCTTACTTAGTTGGGGGCATCATGCAAAATGGAGTCGTTAGGACTTCAAACATTCTGAGAGTTGATAATGCTTTGCCACTGACCCCCCACAGCACACCCTGCCCACAGCCCATCCTCAACCACTCCAAGACTCCAGCTCTGTCTCTTTATTTCTCCAGCTTTTCTCAGGGCTGTTTGGCTTCCACGGCCCTGAAGGATGCTTCCATGACCTCAGCAGAAGGACACAGCTGGTAATTCTCTGAATGGTTAACAGCAATTGGTTGACTCAGTCAGGCGAGGGCAGGTAGGGGTGAGGGTCTCCAGGGAATGGCAGGGCGGGCACCCGGTTGTAGTGCGCCACGAGGAAGATGCCGGCAGTGCCACAGACAAAGAGGGAGAGCATGGCCAGGAAGCAGACACGGTCCAGCACACGGCCCACTAAGAACCACTCCTCGTTCCCCTGAGGGTGGAGGCAGAGTGTGGGATGACCAGCGGGGGCACAAAGCCTGCCCTGGATCCTGAACCGTCCTTGGCCTTCCAGCAGGCCTCCATTCTCCATTCCCTTGGGCCCTTCTAACCTACTTCCAAGTTTCCACCTGGCTTCTTCCATGGTCCCCTCGCCCTGATGTCCCCCCTCCTCCCCAATCCCAACTCTACTTTTTCCATCCCATTGCCCTACCATGGCTACCCCATTCCTCCTGCCCCCATGTCAGGTCCCAGCCCCTCACCAGGTACTCACAGCAACCTCCCACTCCCAGCCTGGCTTACACTGTCAAAGTGATTCCGCTGGTGTTGGGCCCGGGCAATGAAATTGCATGCTTCCACACAGGCCTGGATGGCTGGGGCAGCCTGCTTCAGGCTGCCACACAACACCTGGCTCTGCCCTGGCTCCGGGCCTTTCTCTGATGAGACGAGATGAGAGGGTCAGGTTTGTGAGTAGAATGGAGGAAAAACAGGCAGAGAAGGTGGCCTCTCCTTAGGGACCCCAGCCCCTCCCTCCCCCACCCGTACACTCGCCCAGCACGCATCTGCAGTGCCTGGTGCTTTGGCCAGCAGACAGCCTCCCATGGCTGGAGTCCATGGGGAGGACTGTGCCCAGAGTCACATCCTCTGCCTCACCTAGTTTTTCCAGCGCCGCCCTCACCAGCCCATTGTGCCGCCGCTGCCGGAAGAGGAGTTCACTGCGAGGCAGGCAGAGGGCCGCCTCCTCCCCACCTGAGGTTGACCACCCTGAGGAGGAGCCATTCTGGAGCCTGGGCTGGACATCCTGCACCGCCGCTGTGGCCAGCGGGCGCACGTGCATCCTCAGCAGCTGA